CCGCCATAGCTCAAGCGGTTAGTCGCTGCCTTCCCACCGCGGCGGCCTGGGTTCGATCCCGGGTCTGGTCAAGTTGGATTTGTGGTGGACAAAGTGACGCTGGGGCGGGCTTTCTCCCAGTACTTCGGTTTTCCCTGCCAATCTTCATTCCACCAATTGCTCCACAATCACCTTCACCTATCATCTGGGTCTGTTACAATAGGCCAGAAGTGGCCGTAGTGCAAGGGACTTAAGTCCCACCCAACTAGCAAAAAAAATAATATAATTAATATTTGTTACGAAACTTGTCAAGTTAAAATTATTACCTTCATCTCAGTTTAATTCACAGTTTAACAATTTTTTTTCGGTGGACATTTTTTCCATAGACTTCATAACCATATGAGAATAGTGGATAAATACGATAAATTTTTATATTTTTGTATAGTTTCTTAAGGATTCTCTTCTTACGTGTAACAACTAACTTGGTGAAAACTTGCACTCTTTACACCAATAAGTATATTATTTATACAGCCCTGAAGTCTACATGATAAGTTATACACACGACGTTTCTGGAGGTTGTTTTTTCTTGTTTCTGTTTACAAACATATCATCAATATTATATACAAACATTGACGTAATGGCTTGAAATAAATGAGTGATTAATTAAAATCTAGTGGGGTGCATTCACGGAATAAGATGCAGTTGACTATCAACACGTCTTATTATTTCTCTCTGTTGTAGAATAAACGGTAAATTTATTTCAAGAAATTAGTTGAACTAACGCATGTGATGTGCGCTCGAACATCTGTAGGACGGTTGCCGTTGCCTTCTGCCACTGAGTGTCGGAATTGGATTTATGCAGCTCAGAATATGAATCAGTGGCGGGCTCTATGAGAGCAGCAATGAACATTCTTGACCCGTAAAATGTATATATTTTCTTGACAAACCGGGCGACCATTAGCTTCTCTTAAAACACTCTGTTTAATGGAATAATATATTGGTTATAAAATGATGGGTAAGTACATATTGGAACATTTCTGGTAATTCTGCGTGTCCTTAATATATTATATATACATATTAATTTATATAGATATAAATTAAATTGTCATGTAATAGGGCCATATCTAAGCTCAAGACGAATAATAGGCCCATGTCTCTAGGACCATGGCTATTGACAAGACGTCTCCCATTAAATTCCACGTCGAAAATTCTGCCACCAGAATTCGAATAGTCATGTGATCAGTTATCGCATAAAGAGGTACTAACTGAGAAATATAGATGGCTCTGCAATTGAGAATATATAACATTCACAAGCCCTATAGGAGACTGGAGTCTTTATATATGGCGAGGTAACTAGAAGTGGAGTATAATGTAAGTCTGTAAGTTCTGATTGGCCTAGGGCCTATAGGTCTGTGCGATGACAATATCAAGCATATATACTTTCTATATTCATGTATTTACATCATTTTCGTCATCACGGGTCTGTATCTTTTCGCGTAACTTTAGTCCTGAATTATTTGTAAATTAAATTACTTATGGCTGTTTATTTTTCGTGAGTTCTTCATTGTTTACTAAAACTGTGGCAGGATATGTGCCCTTCATAATATGAAAGGTATCACACGCGAAGTGATCTGTCTGTCCAGTCATCTGTGACCGATGTTGATGATGCGGATTATTTCGACCTGCTTGTAACAGCGTCACGGGTTACCTCACCTAATAACTAAGTTAACATGAAATTATCCTCTCCACCTTTCATAAGACCAAAAAACTCATACTAGCTTCCTGTGTTTCGTCTAAGTATATTTGGTGCAAGCGATTATCATCCGCCATTGTTGATCGTTGATAGTCATCATAACTCAGACTGGATTCTGTGTTGGGTTTCGGCAGCCGCACCGAACAGTCTAATTAAGACCATGCCTATACTGGTTGACTCTTCTTACGTGGACGCTAGGCAGTGCAGCTCTACATAAGGTTATTGCTTCTCTGCTAATTAGTGGACTTCTGATAATTTAGCTCTTTATTATTAGATTGCATATATCTTTGATTAACTAACTTCTAGGAGATGAGTTCTTCTTGAGAAGCCGCCAGTTACTCAGCTACTCAAGAATTTCCCAATATATCATGGAATTCGAAGGACCATTACCGTGTTCAAAAAAGCACACTACTGGTGCCTATCCTGTACCACATGAATCCAGTCCATACCACCCCATATATTCTAAAACCCATTTTATATATTGTACTCCCACCTCCTTCTAGGTCTTCTTAGTGGTCTTTTTCCTTCTGACTTACCCATCAAAATCCTATATGCCTTCGTCTTCTACCCATAGTGCTACATGCTGTACTCATTTCATTTTATTAGAGTCTAAAGGGCCGATCACGGTAACCGAGCGTTCTATGGCAGTAGTTCATAACCTCTATCAGACCGTGGCCCGGTAAATCCTTTTTTCTATAAGACCAGGGCACCGTATAATTGAAGCCAGGGTCCGGCAGTTGAGAAACACTGGTCTAAGGCATGAATTTTCTTCGCTTGCTCTGAAGCCGTGATCGTTGGTTCGAACCCCGCACAAGGCATGGATGTTTGGTGTCTATATGTGTTTATTCTGTGTTTGTGTTGTCCTGTATTTCGGTAGAGGCTCTGCGACGAGCTGATCACTCGTCCAAGGAGTCATATCATGTGGAAAATGATCAAAATGAAAAACAACCTCGACACCATAGGGTATAAGAGGAATGGATTAAGTAAAGTAAAGTAAAGATTCTAAAGGGTTCTGACAATGTGTATAACAGTCAGATTTACTGGGTTTTGGGGCACCTTCCATTGTCCGGTATTCTAGAGACTAGAAAACAAGACGTTTCGGAAATTGAATCTGTTTCCATCCTCAGGTGTGAGTAGGTGTCTTCCCCCTTAACCTGAGGAGGGAAACAGGTCCAGCTTCCGAAACGTCGTGTTTTCTAGTCTATAGAATACCGGACGATAGAAAAAGTCCAAAAACCCAGTAATCTATTTTCTTTTCTTTTACTTCATCATTTAAAATGATATTCAGTTTAAAAGGCTGGAACTTCGTATAATTCATACAAGAAAAATATATTATTTTTGCTTATTATGCCCAGTATAATAGTCCTAATGTAGCATGAGTTAGAAACACAACTTTAACGCAGGCATTACGTTAAAATTAAACACAGTAACAGTTACACAAAAACAAGTCCCTGCACAGTAAAGGGGCTGTCTTCATGAAGAAGAAAGCGATGCACTGATATTGCACGTATTTCCACATCACTTGCAATTGACAGTGATTACGTTACTTTGGGCACGAAATTGATTGCTGTTGGGTACTAAATACCGAACAATAGCAACTTCCGTTAGAAGGTAATACCAGTTCCGTTAAGATCGACATTTCACATCTGGACCAATAGTACATTTTCCTGAAGCTGCCAGCTCTCCAGTTTTATTTTGGGAGATGGTCTCTACAAGTTATTAAATTGAATCAGAGTCGCTGTAATCCTTTTCGAGGAAATCTCCAGTTTATTTTTTCTTTTTTTTGGGGGGGGGGGGAAATCTGAATAACTCTTATTTTTGGAGCTCTAATGTTCATATTGTCACGTTTTCGGGTACGTGTTGAAGGGGTTTGGATTGGTGACCACTTACGGGTCCTAACTGCAAGTAACTGTAAATCTATCGGTATTTCCACAATTTATATTTCCCTGGAGCACGCAGTCTGCTACAAGAAGTTTCCTGGTAACAGCTCCAGCAACGGCTATTGCTTTGCCCCCGACTCACGTCCTCTCTTCACAGACTCCCGTACAGAACCGACTAAGTTCTAACCTAAGGCCGCGCCATAGCTCAAGCGGTTAGTCGCTGGCTATCCACCCCGGCGGCCCGGGTTCGATCCCGGGTCTGCTCAAGTGGTATTTGTGGTAGACAAAGTGGCACTGGGGCAGTTTTCTCCGAGTGCTTCGGTTTACCCTGCCAATCTTCATTCCACCAATTGCTCCACAATCACCTTCATCCATCATCTGGGGCTGGTACAATAGGCCAGAAGTTGCCACAGTACAAGGGACTTAGTCCCACCTCACTAGCAGTAAAGAAGCTCTAACCTCGTCTTTTGCTTATAACATCTCGACATGGACCATGTAGAAAATACAGCTTTTCCATTGTTATAGTCAAACTATTGCATGATTAAGAATTTGATGCCTAGCAACGGGAGTTATTCCGTTTTATGCTTCGCGAGAAGTTGTTTACTTAGTCGTTGCTCAGAACCGGACCTGATATAACCGCCCATCTTACTGTCGTTGCATAGCAACGGCTCTGTAGGCTACAATATTAATCGGATACCGACCTATAGCACCGAATATAAACAAAATCCGTTTAACTGTTCAGGTGCTATGAAGACCCGGATACATATATACATACGTACATACATCCATGCATCCATACATACATACATGAATGCATAATTAGACAAATGCACTCCGAAAATCACGTTTTGGTTTTCAGGGGCGGTCGAGATGTGTAAGTCTGTCAAAATCTCCGGTTAACTTTGGTTAACGTTGTGCCTGTACTACGTAGAGGAGGAAACAGGCCTCATAAACTCTGGGATTTTCAGACATGTTTAACGAACTATGGATCTCTCATTAGGCTTTCCCGCTTTCCCGCTTTCCTGTCGCATGCAGAATTCTCTTACTTTTTAGAAAAAGACTGCAATAAACGAATTTTCCTTATATATACATATATACACATAGAGAGAAATAGCGTTTCCATTAATATGTAAACGTAATATTCAAGTCACAGATTTCCAGAAGCTGTGCTCCTAATTGGATAGGTCCGTTTGATTTGTCTGTCTGTTATTAGGCTCATACATTCTGTTCATTATAATTAAATATATATATACCACTGACTCGATAGGAGAAGTGTGTATACAAAAAGAAAAATATCTGAAGAAACTTCTGCGGGACAGTGAAGAGCCAGCAATATATAAAATTTCAAAATGAAGAACAGACCATATTTCACATAGCATAATTTTTAATTATCTTTAGTTTTCATAAGTCTTAAATGTTTACATTTTCTTTAAAAATTTTAACTCCAGGCTGTCTTAGAATTATTCAAACACCCGATAAGCGACTTTCAACAGTAATGTCTAAATTAATTCTATTTCGTACAGTTTATCACATTTTAAGGAAATTGCACTTTTTTTTTTGTTTAAATGCTTTTGCTCGTACGGGGTGGGCTGCATTACGAGCCCTGAAGTAGCCTATTCTAAACTTCAAGCTATGTTAACTAAAAAATATTCAAGAGTTTAAGGTGAGTCGTCGTCGCTAAGGGACTAATCTATGGCAGATGTAGGTAGTTCTCGTGCACTGTACATCGCAGTTATGTGTATTTCAACTGTATAACTATCATACTAAGTATCACTTAATTTAGATTATAAATATTAACACATTTAAAGCAATGTTCTTCAGCTAAATCCACTCTCCTCGCGATACTGTCCTAGAAATCGCGTTGGTCTCTGCAGATAATCCACAGAACACACATGTTCTGAGCACAAGGCTATAGTCTCATTTCTGAGAGTCGATCCCAGTTCTTGCAGAAGAGTTCTTCTACCTGACACGATTCGATGCTGTTGGTTTTCTCGCGTCCTCCACCTGCGAACAGAAACAAGTTTTATTCAACGGAAATGCATCAATTTTAGCATCATACATGCAAAATTAATCCTCTTAAAATTGTGTACAATGCGCCTTATGTGTACGTAAGAATATATATAGGAATATCTTCCTTCTATCCAGTGGGAACAAGGGATGATATCCCTGGATATAAAACAGCCGGGACGTGAAGGTGATCAGTTACCTCCATCTGGTACCGAGGGTAAGGCTTCTGGAGTTATACTTCCACTTATTCATGGTATAGAGCTTAATGAAGCACAGGGACAAATTTACCTTTTACAGACGCATTTCTTCGGAATTAAACATAACCCAAAATAGAAAGCTGATTACAATTTATAGAGTACAAATTGAGTTGGGGAGGCGGGACAGCGATTTGGTTAAGGGCTGACCGACCGAAGAATCGGGATTCGAGTCCTGGAGAAACAAGAGATGTTGCTTTTCTCTCATCTTCCGGACCGGTTCAGGAGCCCATCCTGCCTCCTAGCTAATTGGCGCCTCCACTCCCCCCTACGTTTTCATGGCACAGTGGTTGTTTGAGCACAAGGAGAATTTTACCTTAATTTTTAACCCTTAGGATTGTTCGGAACTTCTCCATCGTCCGGTATTCCAAAGAACATTAAAGGACACAACGTTTCGGAAACTGGATCTATTTCCGTCCTCAGGTGGGGAGACACCTGCTCTGATGGGTCCTTCAGAAAGAGGTAACCTCAATGGCTGGACTCAAGAGAACACTGTCTCCCATCCCTCACCTGAGGACAGAAACATCAGTTTCCGAAACGTTATGTTCTTTGGAGTACCGGACAATGGACAAAGTCCGAAAACCCAGCAAGACAGATTGCTACACACCTACTTCAGAACATTTTAAAATCTACTCAGTTCTTAAGTTTAGCTGTCCAAAATAATTTTATTTTGCATCTGGTGTACAGAATATTTTCAGTAGCTTCTGATTACAATAATTCAGCCTGAAGCAACGATGCGATGCTTGGTTTACTGACTGATCATTTCAGAGCTGTGTAGGTTATGCAACGTGCAATTATGAATTCGATACGATACGGAAGAACTGGTCGGAGCGGTCGTGCTCCCAAAGAAGGCGACTCCGATTACAGATGGATAGGTGGATAGGGGCTGGACGGACTAGGGAGCCGATGGCAAGTCGTAACGAAAAGGAAAATCCTTGTCTCTATTGGGAATCAAATCCCGGCCACCGAACTTCGAGGTTGAAGAGATAGCACTTGTTAACATGTCGTAAGTAAAAAGGTAAAGCTACTCCTGTGCTTAATTGTTTAATCACTATTCCACGAATGCGTAAGGGAAGTGGAGGATAGGTCCACCATTCACGACCCGTCCTCTTTTATCCCGAGAAAGGAGTCCCCATTATCCAGTTGATAGGAATCTGGGCGAGTTTGAGAGCTATCCCGGACATTCGTTAAAATATGGTAAAGTAAAAATGGTAAAGCTATCCCTGTAGCAGGCCGTGAAGGCCCATATGATTGTGAAACGTCGAGGCCCCCACATCTTCGATAATCGGCTCACAAATGGCGGTGGGATTGTCAGCCTTACGCGTTTTTACCACCAAGAATATTCGTGGTACTCATTTCTGTTGGAGCATGAGTTGACCCCAGGGCCATAGTGCGTCTGGAAGGATTAGATAAATTGAAAAAAAAATCCAATGACCTCATCGAGAATCGAACCCGCGACCTTTCGGCTCGTAACATAGTGCCTCAGCCAGCTACGCTACCGCGTGCCTCCATTAAAATATGGTAAATAAATAAATAAAATACCCGGTTATCCATTCCGCAGACTGTAACGACTTAACTGCACGGTCCTGACTCTAATATGTAACAACAGCGGCACTTGTACACCCCTCCATAACAATCGCTTTGATATCGCCCTTTGAATCTGCTTTCAGGCCCGTAATCCGCCTACCTGTTCCTGAACAGTCAGAGCTAAGACCCATACATATATTTCGGCTCAGGTCAGCTGTTGAATTCCAGGCAGGAGATAGCCTAATAAAAGCGACCCACACTCGCCGCTTATTCCGTAAAAAGGAAGAGGCCCTCTTCCTCCGTCTTTAATTGCAGCGTTCATCGTAAATCTCGCGACTACTGTGCGTGGTTCTGCCTTTCTCCTCATCGGGAGATGTAATTCCAGATTATGCATGTTTCCCAAACTGTGGACTGCGGCCCAGTAGTTGGCTGAGAAAGGATAATTAGCAAAGTAAAATAACGAATCAATCAGTGGCTCAGAGTTCTTATTGAGGAGTTCGTCAAGAAGTTTCTCACTTTTTACTGAACCAGGTTCATTACATTCCTACGACAGCCAACAACTGAAATTCATTCTGAATCAGATAAACTAATCCACATACATTTTATTTCCTTTTAAGATACATTTTAATATTATCCTCTCATCTCACACATGGTGTATATCCTTCAGATTGTTCCAGTGACGTGTTTTTCTGATTAATGCAATAAAATCAGGTTCCGTAAAATCAAAGAACTTACGGATCTCTTGACGAACTATCAATGTATCAAGAAACATTCCTACCAAAATATCTACTCATTATCCTACCAACCGACCGGGGGCAAAGACGTTACCGGTATTCTGCTGTTGATATTAAGGTTCATGATACACGGACCTACCTACCTACATGCATACAAACGTATATATTTATACATACATACATTTACACGTAGATGTTTCTATTTATGTGTATATGTATGTATGTGTAAATGTATATATTTATACATACATACATTCACACATAAATAGAAACATCTACGTACATATACATAATTTTCCTACACATATCCATATATAACATTGCAGTGTTTGTGTAGCTCTCCTGCGTTGAGTTTGGACGGTCCCGGATTCGAATCTCGGCTCTAAGGCTGGCTAGAGCAGCTAAGACTTCCTAGTTTTCCTTGGTCCTCTTGGTAAATACGAGAGTCGTGCATATTCGTCAAGCCCAATTACCCTATGAGACCGAAGAAGTTGAGTCAATTGAATTGCATTACATGCTCTGTGATTGAGCTCCAGTATATTGTATTGAGGCAGGACTAAAGGACGTGGCAGACTGCTTACTTCTGCACAAAAAGGAAGAGGCAGAAGACTGACAGGGACATGTTCTGTGTAAGTTGTTGAAGCTGCTTCATTATTACAACCTCAGCGTTAATATGCTTTAGCATTTATGGAAGGTAGCTCTGAACTGGGGCGTTTCATATGTTCATGCCCGGTATTTTCTAAATTAATATTAATTCACAGTAGCGGATTAATAAAATGGAAAAACTAATGGATATTCTTGCTATTAAAACGTTCAATCTGATGGCTGAAAAATGTTAATTAAACACTGTTAGTTTAACACTGCTGTTTGGCCAGGAGTGTACCAATGTCGATCCATTTCTGTTCATGTATATTAATTCAATAAACCTTCGTTAATACGGTTACAGTTCATCCGGATGTCTGATAATCAGGATCGAAATATGAAAAATAAAATATTCTGTTCACAGTTGAGTACATACTTTAAAAGATACGTGGGATTTAGGAGCAAAATGACTTTCAAACTATGCTGAGGGCAGCTGGAAAAACAAAAATCACTCAAGAAAATATCAAAGATTGGCTTGAGCTGGATGAAGAAGACCCTGGATTTCAGCTTCTTAGCTTTTCATAATTTTTAAATAAAGGCTTGAGAGTGTTTAATTATTTGGTTCTGTCAGCATTTCCTACATTATAGAATTTCCTTTTATTTGTTTTCTAGGGTCATCTTTTTCTTCATTAACTCGGATTATCGCTTAATCCGGATGATTTTCTCCAATTTTATCCTGATTAGTGAAGTTGTAGTGTATTTAAAAATTTTCACCCCTAAAATTACCACATTGTAACATAGTTAGCGTTACTAATTGAATGTTCATGCTTAGGGGGACACGCCCAAACTTGCTGAATTTTGTCACACAACTTACATCCTTGCTCTTATCTTCCAGTTATTCATCTTCCTTCGCTCAGCGAACTTCTTGTATTTTAGCACTGGTTTTCTTAATTCTAGTCATTTGAACAGCACTGTTTCTCGGCAGATCCTCATTAATATCGCAAGCAGATTTCTGCTTATCTTCTGGGATATAACACCTTGAAGTCAGATGAAAGTCCACTGACGTTTGGGAGCAGCATACTCCCTACATCATGCCGGTTTCTTGCTTGACCTGCACTTCAGCACTGAAGATCTATATGATACGATTTACTGAGACGTCTATTGATAGAACTGTTCATGGTCACCGCTGTTAGAACTTCAAATCCAGTTCAGAGATCTTTTCAGCCATAAGCATTCATTAGGAATTCAGTCTTTTTGATTGTCCTAGCAATAGACGCTCAGATATGTTTGTTCCACAAGGGTCAGAAAGATACTTCATTATTTTCTTTCTCAGAAAGATAAACTTATGTACTGTGGTCACTTTCACTCAATGTGGACACTCTTGTGCACGTCTTTCCCCAACCGCATGGGTCAATGAATGACTACCCTTTGTCAATTTCTCGAAGCTGAGTTTTGAAGCTGTGTTGATCCATAATGGAGAAAACTGCCTTTCCTTTCCAGCAATATTCGCCATTCATATAAAGGAATCGTAAGAAAACACGTACCATTTTGTGAAACATATCCAATGGCATAAACATTCGCTGCATATCTGTGGAAACTGGAAACTGGTTGGGCTTCTGCTTAATTTGCAATTGGATTATGCGAAATTCTGTTGTTTCTTCTGCGCATGGGACAACAGTGCACGGGAAAGCCACCACTCAGTGAACAACGGCCACTTCGAAAATCACTGATTCCAGGTAAAAACATGCAACCAGCCGAAATCTGGTTAATCCAAATGGAAGTTACAGGTGATCTTAGGAGAGCATTTAAAGCACTGACTATAAATTTTCTTGGAGATGTCAAGGTTGCAAATTACGGGTCAATTTTTAAGAACTTCTCTGTGCCTACATGAATACGCGTACTGAGGAATCTTTCAGTGAAAATACGAGTAGAATTGGACCGGAAGTTAGCACCTGGGCCCTCGAGCAGGAAGCAATATTAATTTCAATCCTTTTAACCTACTTCTCATTAAACCGTAATTGTCTTCAGCAGACCTATGCAGGGAACTTCTTGACTTTTCGACAAACAATGTTTTTGTCTTAAACTAGTTTCTCTCTGTAATTTCACAGAATATATTTAGCCAAGATCTACACACTTGGATGTTTCGGAATCTCACTACGTATAAAGTCAAAGATATAAGACACAAAATCGTATGCTAAAAGAATGCAATTGGAAAATCCGTTATTTTTTGGTTGAAGTTATTGTTCAAAATTTCTTTGCGGTATGACAAGAAAGACGCGAAGTCAAACATATTATCTTACTAAAGACGTTTGAGTAAAATAACGTAAACAGGAGAAACCTATATACTAACCTGCAGTCCTATTTTACTGTTATGAATTTCGTGACTTGCTGGTGTGAGCCATGCCCCCGTGTAGACCGTAGTATTTTACCAGTCTGGCCTGAGCTCATCTAGGGATGATTCGCAGGATTTGCATTTTACTATCAATGACAGAATAACAACGAATAGGCTGATGATAGTGAATACAAGGTACACACAGCTTAACATTAAATCTAAACCTCAATGCGTGCTGGTGGGGCTCATATTCCTCACATGCACAAAGATTTAACTTTGGGGTAGGCATGAGGCTACAAATATCAGTCACTTACATGTGCCAAAGAGTTCCTACCGAAGTCCGATGGCATCTGTTACATTTCTTATCAATTTTTGCGGGGTAAAGTTAAAAAGGAGCCGGTCACGGTAGCCGAGCGGTCTAAGACATGCACTGTCTTCGCTCGCTCGGAAACCGAGATCGTGGGTTCGAATCCCACTCAAGGCATGGATGTTAGTGTGCGTTTTTCTGTGTTCGTCTACAGGTAGAGGCCTTGCGACAAGCTGATTACTCGCCCAAGGAGTCCTACCGTATGTGTAAGATCTAGAAAAACCGAAGTTGACAGAGAAATTCATGGAGGTAAGCCTAGGGCCACTGGGGCTGTAGTGCCAAGGTAAAAAAAAAAGTTAAAAAGGTAAAGTTGTCCCTGTGCTTAACTAATTAAGCACTAGGCCATGAAGGCGTATGGGGGAGTGGCTATATACATCCATATTTTCTTGACCTCGGCACTAGCTGGAGGTGAGTGGTCAACTTCGCGCCCCGGTTGCTTTACCCTCGGGGAAAAAGCCCCCCCGGTACTTATTGGGTTGGAGGCTGGGTGGACCCCAGAGCTGGTCTGGAAGATGTGGAGAAGAGAAAATCATTGACTGCACGGGGACTCGAACTCCGATCCCTCGGTCGTCCAGCCCGTAGAATGTCGCTATACAGACTGGCCCTAGAATAACATTCAAGCTGGAGAACCACATAATGTCGGGTGTCCCAAATTTGTTTATTAAACATATTCAGAGCAAAATTTCCTTCGTGAACCCGTCGCCTCCTTCTGTAGCACGAGTATGTCTGCCGTTCGTGCCGTTGTAACGGTGGACACAATTAATTCTGCGGATGAGTATAACGAACTGGGAATTTCTTGACCACCTGATCGACTATTAGTTACTAAAGAAAGAGTGTGTGCCATGCACATTACGTAATAATAATACTGTTGCCTTGTTCTGTATTTTCTCACAGAAGTAGGCCTAATTGTCTATAAAGTCTTATAAGACGTGTGCAACAAACTTTAAACCTCATTTATGTGTATGTCTGTTGGTGATCTCTCATGACAGACAGTGACGTCTATGCTTTCTATTTAATCCAATTCGTTTTATGAAAAGTATGCATATTTCGGTCACGGATCAGATAAGTTTTTTAATGTTGAGTTTAGTTCCTGCACATAATGGAATGGTATAATGGAAAATTCACGTTTTGTAACGGAAGAATGGCCGAGCGTATTCGCATTAGAATGCAGACCTCGTAATTGAAACCGCTTCATAAATGAAAACGCGGCACATTATACGTAGTATATGCTGAAATGAGCCGGTCACGGTAGCCGAGCGGTCTAAGGCATGCACTGTCTTCGCTCGCTCGGAAGCCGGGGTCGTGGGTTCGAATCCTGCTCAGGGCCTGGATGTTTGTGTGCGTTCTTCTGTGTTTGTCTACAGGTAGAGGCCTTGCGACGAGCTGATCACTCGCCCAAGGAGTCCTACCGTATGTGTAAGATCTAGTAAACCGAAGTGAAACGGAGAGTTTCATGGAGGTATGCCTAGGCCCAAATTGGGGCTGTAGCGCCACAGAAAAAAAAAATGCTGAAATGAACACGGCGATGGGGGAAAGTAAACGGCACTTAAAGGAAAAATTAAAAGTGGAAGACAAGATATTTCAGAAACCGATTAACAGAAGAGATTGTTTATTAATGAATGCATATAGCGATTGGTCGAATCAGATTTAAAAGTAAATGAACTGATTTGAACGTCTGATATTCGTATTCAGAACTATTGAATGGCGAAATGTTATTTTCTACCAGGGCGCTGAACATGAGAGGAGAAAGGTCAGTACGTAACACATTTTCCAAATGTGTCTCTAATTAACCTTGAGATGTAGAGTATTAACTGGAAGCCCCTTATTGCAAAGGCAATTAACATACAGGTATTATGCTATATTGTACAGAACTAGGGATAACGAGTGTGTCTCTTTGTAAGACCGCGTCATAATTCAAACGATTAGTCGCTGGCTTCCCACCGCGGCGGTCCGGGTTCGAGCCCGGGTTCAGTCAAGTGGGATTTATGGTGAACAAAGTGGCGCTGGGGCGGGTTTTCTCCGAGTACTGCTGTTTCACCTGCCAATCTTCATTCCAGCAAATTCTGCATCATCATAATCACCGGGGGCGTGCTACAATAGGCCAACCAGTGGCCGCCGTTCTGAGTGGATCCAGTTGGACTCCAACCCCACTAGGCGAAAAAAATTAATGTCTCTTTGTATTTCCTTGAATAT